AGGGGATGATGTCGCTGTTGTGGAGAAAATTTTGAACCCACTAACTTGAAGGGATGATGCAATGCATGAAGACGCGAAGCACATGTCCGCTACGAGGACGTTAGCGGATTGAGTGGGGGAGTGTGTCACGGACCTAGAGAACTCCCCTACCCATGTGGCATGGCAAGATAGCTTATTGCGGGTTTATTGCTATATTTCTCTGAAGTGCACTGACGATGTCCCTTTAACAGGTTTTGATGGCATGCTTTCTATTATATTGCATATCTAAGCTTGCCGGTCGCATGTATGGGGTAGGCTGCCTTGGGGGTCCCTGAAACCACAAGTGCCTAACGGGAGGTCCGTTACAAGTGGTATCAGAGCCCAGGTTGTGTGGCTAGATAAATCGAGGTGGTGGAAAATTCTCGTGGGATGGTAGATCCATGGTAACGTAGTGGGTGCAGGCTACGATGGATTATCTCGATAAGTGGTAATTTACCTCGTGAGCCCTGTTTGTGGGAGGGATTGTTAGGACAAACAAGTCCTACATCGGTTGTGGGAAGAAAATAAATCCACCATATAACCCAAGTGGGCTACTCCACCCATTACCAATTGGTTTTGGGATGGAACCTCACTTGGGTCTGGTGGAGTGGGTTTGGGCCTTGGGTAATTGCTCTCAATAATTCCCTTATAGCATTAAATATTAAATTTGTTTTCTATACTCGTCTCTTATCATGATTTTGATTATGTTATGATACCATATTAATTAAAAATTGGTTGGGTAACCAAGTGTGCACATAAGAATTCTAGTGAAAACATTTATGTACTAACTTTACTATAAGTAATTCCATAATTTTCCTTGGTAAATAATAAAAAAAAACTAAAATATTTATGATTTATCATATAATGCTGATAATTGATTCGATATTTTTCATTTGCAAATAAAAAACTAAGAGACTTGTTACATGATAATGAGATAGTAAGGCACCAAAATAAAAGTATGCTTTATATTGCAATATTTCTAAAAATAAGTGATATCTAAGGTGGTGTAATTTAGCCTTGGACAGAGATGGAGACTGCGCATGATAGAGGAATATGATTATGGGCAATATAAAAATACAGCATGATGGAAAAGCTGAGAAAAGAGAGCTTATACTTTATAGTGGGGGAAAAGATGGCCGTTGACTTTTGATGAGGCATCTTTTTAAATGAGCACTTTCATATCTGAATCAGTCTACATGTACATAAAATTGGTACAAAAATTTGAGATGGACAATACAAATTTAAAGATGGGAAAAATACACATACACAGATGCACATGATGAGCGCAAATTCAAAGATGAGAAAAATATACACGCACAGATGCACAAGATGAGCACATCCTGTACAAATTTTGTGAGTTATTCCCATAACTCTTCATATCTTCACGTGTGAGTCTCTCACTAGGGTACCTACGAAGTACCAACCCAAGATTAGGAACCATTTACAAAGTAAATAGAATAATGCTGGAGGTACATTAAGGATGTACATGGATGGAATCTGACCACTAAGTTGATAGACTATCTTTTTTAAAATTAAAGATTATGATTGCTGTCACATCATTAAGGCCTTGTTTGAGCTAAATTATTGTAGAATGAAAATGAAAAATATAGTCTTATTGGGGCCCATATAAGATGTAGAAAATTTGAATTTAAATGTTTATGTGATGAATAACGATCATATTTTTCATTTTAATGAGATAATAATGTAGATCAAACGGGGACTAAATGTCAAATTTAATGTCAAAGAAAATGTACACATAACATAATTGGTGTAAATAAAGGTAGGTAAAAAGTCAAAAACACCAGTGGCCAGTTTTTGTAATATCTATGGGCATTGTAGTTAAAGATATTTTTATCAGCGTCAACCTCGTGTTAGCAAGGTCAATTATGAGATTTGGGATGTTCAATGTAACATTTTAAAATGGTGCTTATTGCATATAATTAAAAATTATATTAAGAAAAAAAATTCAATAATGTTATTTTATTGCAAGTACTTGATCCACATTTTTGATAAAAATTGATGAGTCGTGTGGTTGAAAAGTTGTAGGACTCATTAAATACATGATTAAAATTAATTGTTGATTTTGATTTAAATTAAAATTTAGCTATTAATTCTATCAAACATGGGCTTAGTTTCCTTAACAATAAATATGTCAAGAGCACATTTTTTAGACTCCATCAACTCAATTTTTCTCTTTTTTCATTCATTTTTCAAATTTTGATTTGTTGTTTTCTAAGATACATTTTAAGCTTTTATTTTATGACAACAATAAAAACTATATCTCTTCTATATAAAAAGTGGCTATCTAACAGAATTTGTTGGTTTAACGGAAAAACTAACGAAAATTTCTTGATTTAACGGAAGAACTAACGGAAGGTTTTTTTTTTTTTTCAACAGAATTTGTTGGTTTAACGGAAATATGTCAATATCTCTTCTATATAAAAAGTGGCTATCTAACAGAATTTGTTTGGTTAACGGAAAAACGAACGAAAATTTCTTGATTTAACGGTAGAACTAACGGAAGGTTTTTTTTTTTTAACAGAAAAATCTTTTTTCACCATTTTTATTAATTAATTAATTTTAAATAAATGTTAAAGCATTGACTACTAATTATAAACTTTCAAACTTCCAACCTAATTGACAGGCCCAGGAAGCATATGAATCGTTTGTTGGCCCATTTATTTATAGGAAAAACTTATTGTGCTTCATCTGTAGAATTCCGATGTGGGATCAACTTTTTCTATGTTACTGTGCAAGCAAGCCGTAAGCATTAATCGTCTCTTGCTAAGCTAGAAGAATGGAGAATATTCTCGCCTCCCTCTCTCTTCTCTTAGGGCTCTTGGCAGATTATCTCTCAGGCTCGATTCTCTTGCATTGAAGGATCGACGATTGAAACCGCTTCGAAGATATGTTCAAATTCTGGTATTCACTCAATTTCCACACAGTCCTCTCAATGTATGTCTCAGTGACTCTCGGATAGTGTCCTTTCTTTATTTTTGTTTTATTAAATGAAATCAGTTCGGCTTCATCAATTTATTCTTGAAATGCTATTTATTTGATTCAAAGGAGTAGTGCAGTTGCTGGGCTAAATTTGAAAGAATTAAAATGTGATTTTGCTATTGATTTGATGGCGGTTGGATCCGCCAGAGTCTTCAATATCTTCAGGCGCCGGCAGGCCAGCTTGCATAACGGAAACCAGAAGGCAGACGCCGCAGACCCTGAAGCGAAGAAGGAGATGATTGTGGTTTGGGTTTGGGCCTAATTTTTTATTTTTAGTTTAGCCATGTTTTGAACTTGGCTTTTTATAAAAAAATAGGCCCAAAGACAAGAGCAGAGACACAGAGTGTTCTTATTTTCCATTATTTCCTCTTTTCATGGTCATAATTTATCCTCACAAGCGGCTCTGTATGAACTAATAGATTAGGCTCAGTTGGAGTGCTTGACTGAAGCAGCAAGTTTAATCAGCTTGAAGGGACTTAATGTTTTCTTTAATTAATTTACCAATTTTTTATGGGTTATTTGATTTTGTATTCATCTGTTTAATTGAAATTTCCCTGTATTATTTTTGGGGGTTGAAAATCGTGTAAAGAGGAGTGCTGGAGTGGTTAGGTGTTGGATTAAATTCTTTGATAATACGGGATAGTGTTGTCAGTTGTGGATAAAACTATTGTTGAATGTTGGATCAAGTAAAAACTCTGAAGGATTTACAGTGAATGTGGTGCGGCCCTCAACCGCCTTTGCAGCTCTCAATCCTTCACCTGCCCGCTGCCACTCTGTCTCTCACTTCGAGGAGGTAAATTATTTACAGAATTTTGTATACTGCCGTTCTGAATTTTGAGGTGAAATTTTGTGTTCGTTCGAACCGATCTGTATTCTTTAATGTGTGATCTGTTAGTTCATTTATTGATAAATCTTGAGGTTTAGCGAATTAAAATTAGCAGCT